TAGCTTTGAGCAAATAAGAACTCAGGGACAGCATCCAGGCCCACAATTGACAAAAACAAAACAAACAAACAAAAGCCCAAAGTGGCTTGTCTCTGGACCCAAGCCTCCTTCCGGGAGGACCTAAGTCTGCTTTTGTCCCCTCCCTACTCTGAAGGGTATCTGGCCCCAGAGGACAGGCACAGGATGATCAGAGACTCCAGGCTTCCCATCAAGTGCCAGACTCCCCTTTGTACAGTGCTGAGAGCCCTGGCAGATCCACAAGCCCCAGGAGTCACCATCTCCCCAACTCCCGCATCAGCACCAGGCTGGGGCCTCGGGCAACCAGCTGCTGACACGAAGAAGAGCTGGCAGAAGAAGCTGTGGGCTAGAGGGAAGGGGCACACAGAGGAGACTGAGGGGAGGTGTGGCTACACTTCTCTGTCCCCATTTGGAGCTGAGGAGAGAGCCCCATCCCATCCCATGTCTACCCTAAGTCCCTGTCTGGCTCCAGGCTCTGTGGACACCTCTCAGCTGGCGTGTCCCCTGCCTCCCCGTGTCACCTGCTGCCTAGCCGTGCATGCTGAGCACCTCAATGGCCCCCACCACAGAGTCCTGTCTCCCAGGGGCCGGGGGGCGCTTAAACTGGTTCCCAATCTTCCTGGAGGACGATGGTGCTGTCCAAGGTGGCAGCTCCTGTCTTAAGCAGAGGACCAGTGCTGAACTTGTTCTTCCGTCCTCTGAGGCAGGAGGCGGGGGCTGAGGAGTGTTGTGGGGGAGAGCCCACATACACCTCTGACCTGAATACATCGTGCCGTAGGCTGGGTGGCTGCTGGTGCTTACGTAGGTTCACCGCACCTGGAAGAGGAGGGAGGTGCCTGCCCAGGACACAGTGCCCTGAGCAGCTGTGAGTGTGGTGTAGAGCCGGAACTGAGTCAGGAAGTCCGCTGGGACAGCTGGAGTATCCACAGACACAGGAGGGCCATACAGGCTCCTCCAGAACTCTCTTCTTCCCCAAGCACTTTTGAAGGGCCAAGGCTGGCTCCGACTTTGCCCCCTTCTCCCCAGGGGCCAGGAAAGGCTCAGAATGACAGTGATAACTAAAGTTATAATAATTATTCAGGGGTCTGGCTGACTCCTTTTCCCTATCCTGAGAACCCCTGGGGCTAAGGCTATAGTACAGAATAGAGGCAAAGGGAAGGGCCCCACGGGCTGCTAGAGTACTTCGGAAGCTGACAATAATCTACTCTCTGCCTCCTATTGGGCTCCAAACTCCCTTCTTTCCCCACTGACAGAAGTTAGCAGAAGTTAGCAGGCCCTCACAGATCTAGCCTCCAGAATCTTGGCACCCCAAGAGATACCATTTGGGGAGAATGTGGCTTTTATCTTCTGACTGGCTCCAAGCAGCAGTCTTTAGCCCAGCAAACCTCACCAGCCCTGTTGCATGCTGGAGTCTAGCTCACTGCCTCTGTCTTCCAGCTGTTCCCCTTTGTTTCCTGGGCTGAGAACTTTCGCCAGCTCCCCCCTGACTCCCTTAGACCCCCAAGTAGCCAGTTCCCCCATGTGCTGGGCCAGCCCCCCTGCAACAGCCTGTGCCCGCCTGTGCCAGCCTGCGCCTACACTCCTGCACCAGGGCAGCTGGCCTGGGCGAGGCTGGGCTGGCTCAAGCTTGGGCCTGGCATAGCTCCACTCCAGGCTTGCTCCTAACAAAAAGACCCCTCCATTGCGGGCATCCTAGAACATGTCCTAGGGCAGATGGTGGGGGCGATGGCTGGTCTGGGAACTGGTACACTCGTCCTACGGCTGCTCTCTGTTGGTCAGAGGTCCATAAAGGCAGTGTCTCCATTACAGTCGCCCCTGCACTCAGCACAATGCCTGGCACATGGTCAAGGGATGCTGTCATGGAAATAGACTCAGGCAAGGATGGATGCTGACTGCCTCACCTTCAGGGAGCAATAATACACTCCAACCTTAAGCCCAAACTATGAGTGTCTGTGTGTGTCCACACATAGGTGTGTACAAGACCGTTCATCCAAGACCTCAGCACACCATGGGGCTCAGTATATATCTGATGGAGCTCACTGGTGTCCAGTGCCCCCCAAGAGCCACTCCAAGTCCTCACCCCTGCTGGCCCAACTCACACCTGCTCTAAAGCTGTAGATCCCAGTCCCCAGATGTCCCCAAAGCCCGCTGGGCTGGAAAGATGGCTGGTAGAAATCTGGATTACACTGAACTTCATAAAAGATGAGCCCGGAGATTGGATTTCCCGTGATCTACAGTGATCGCCTGTGGGAATAGAGACAGCAGATGAGCCTGGCCACCACAGGGGGCCACTGTGATGCTCTCCAGGCCTCGCCTTGGTCTGGCCCCTTCCGGGTGGACCTCTGCAGCCCAGCTCTGCCCGGGCCAGCCCCACAGCCCACAATGAGCTCCCACTCTGGCAGGCTGACAGAAGGCTGGAGCCAATGAAGACAGAGCATCTTCTCTCTGCCAGGCACCAGGTCGTGGCTCGCCAGGGCCAACAGGGAGTTTTGAACCTGGCTCGAGGAGACTTCCCACAAGGAAACCTCCTGGAAAGTTCGCTCAGTGAAGCAGATGGAAGTGGAGATGCTCCGGTGGGAGGGGGGAAGGGGCGGAGAGCATCTTCTCCCCACCCGCCCCTCTCTCTCTCTCTCTCTCTCTCTCAATCCTCCCCCACCCCCACCCCGTGGTTCCTTTCTTCCCCCTGCCAATCCAACTGGCCTGAGGCTTCATAGTAACTTAGGCAGAAAACAGTCGGTTACTGCCTGTAGCATGCAAGAACGACTTGCAAAACACTCATTACAAACTCCATCTTTCCAATAAGAACACTGAGGCTCCATGATGAGAAAGGGCTTCTCCAAGCTCACAGAGCTGTTCGGAGATGAAGCCCATATGACCAGCTCCAGCCCACCAGGTTCCAAATGCTGGAAGATTCCAAGCTGTCCCAGTGCTTTTCTATTCTGAGGATAACTCTTTGCATTAGTGCTCAGGGTATGGCATTTTCCCATGAAGAGACACCTGGCCAGCAGACCAGTGTGTGTGTGTGTGTGTGTGTGTGTGTGTGTGTGTGCCAGTTTGACCTGGGGTTCTCCCAAAGAACACCAAAGACCATCATCCTGTCAGAGATATTCTGAGCTCCTGGTGCAGCCGTGTCTCCCAGCTATACAGAACCACGATGAGATGTGGGCATACAAGCAATGTTTGTAAATGTGTGGATAAAGCACTGGGCATGGTGCTGGGCACGGGGATCCTGGATGAGCATTACAGGTGCTCTCCCCACAGGGTGTCACCCAGCATGAATCTGAGTTCTCTGAGCTTTCTTGAAGGGTAACGTGTGGCCCAGAGGTGCTGCAGGGAAACGGGTAAGCAGGTTGTCAGAGAAGGCTGGAGGTGTCTGGATTTGGTCTGGAACTGAGAGTAGCAAGGACTAGGGGAGCAGGTGTCTGGCAGGTGGTGACTGCACTCCTTCCTGACAAGGAGAAGTAGCTATGAGGCTGGAATCAGGTGGGGAAGGGCCACTATCTGCTCATCTCCCAGCACCCTGCTTCTGGACTCTGCCCAGCAGCCTCGCCCTGTTCTCCTGGACAGGCCCCAGGACCACGTCTCTCCTCCCTCCTGCAGCCCCTCTGGGTGGCAGCCAGGGCTGTGAAGGCTGAAGGCTGGTGATTCCCCGCAGGCCCCCTCCCCCCTCTCTGTGGAGAGGGTGGGAACTCTCTTTCCAAGGGAAAGGAAAGTGAATGTGAGTTGTCCCATTCATCGTCAGGTCCTGCCCTGGCCTCCAGGTGCATCCCAGAGCCCTGTATACCTTCCTTCTCCACCTGCCCCACCCAGAGGACAGCTCTCAGCTGCTTAGCTCTCTGGCTGAGAAACCTATCTCAAATGGTAAAACACAGGTCCAGAGACGACCAGACTGCACAAACACCCCCACCCAGATCCTGTCCTGTGCCTAGACTGCCACAGGCTGGCAGGGGGATTCGGCAGAGCTGCAGAATCTGCAGCCGGGCAAGCACCTTGGCTGCTGTGGCCACACCAAATCAGGGTATTGGTGACCAGGCACACTAGAGCGACTGGAAGACAGGACCCCAAGTCTGCACTCCAATAGAGGGAAGAGAGTGGGTGAGGAAGCGGGTCTAGGCCCACCCCTACTCTCAAGATGCTAGGAAGGGAGAGATTGCTGGGTCAGGATGCTGCCTGGCTCTCTATGGCCGGTCCAGCACAGGACCTCGGGAGCTGCAGATGGAACCAAGTCCCTATTAGCCAACGTCCTCCTGGTAGCTGCATGAACTCTTGCATGAGGCCTGCTAGGGACATGGCTAACAGATCTAAGGTCATGACTCCCCATCAGTCATGTGAGTGCCTTACCTGGGCACCCTGGCCCCAGGATGTGGCTAAGAAAAGCAGGCTGGTCTGAAGAGACTTGATGCAGCTCCCAGAGAGGGCTTTTGAGCTCCTACCCAGCAGAGATGGGGGACGGGCCAGGGAGAGCAAGTCCCACCCAATCTGCCAACCACCAGAGGAGGGCATCCGGGCCCCCACAGCCAGGTTCCCGCCCCGCCCTCTTCCAGACTCTGTGTGGAGGGACATCTAGAGCTAGCCGGACAAGCAGGCAGGTGGACTCTTGCCTCCCAATTAACACTGCCTAGCTTTTACCATCTGATCAGCACCCCCACCGGCTTATGGAGGGGGAGGGGGCAGAAAAACAGGGCAGAGCCAGACTCCCAGAGGGGCAGTAGGAGGCACTAGGCCCTTGGAAATTGTCCAAGGTAATAGCCAAGCCCCTCCCCTGGGGCTGGGGGGGAGGGGGAAGGGAGGAATGGCGGATGAGCTCTTAAGCGATTTCTCCAGCATCGACCCAGGCAAGAGAAGCATTCACTCACTAAGCAGATGCAGGTGCCTGAGAGAAGGCCAGGCCTTGGTTCAGAGTCCTCTGTCATCTCTGCCTCCCCAGGTGCTTGTCAGCCTCTGGGCAGACTCTCCCAAGTTGGGCTGAGGCTCGTCTCTTCTGATTCTTGCCTTGGCTTGGGATCCCAGCATGGGGACCCTCACCAGGAAGAAGCCATGCCTACTGCCGCTGCTACCGCTGCTGGTCACCTGGACCCTCGCCTCCTCCCCAGGTAAGAGCGTTCACCTGGGCTAGCAGTGATTCTTGTCTTGGCTTGGGTGATGACTACAGAAGTAATTGCCTCTGCCTGGCACAGCGCCCAGAGCCCCGTCTGTGGATCTTCCCTTCGAGGTTAGGAGGAGAGACAATGAGTCGTTGTTGTGTTGTGGGTGAAGGAAAGAATGACCCAGGAAGGGTGAGTGGGTTACCCTGGTCACACAGGAAATTATGCTACGACCAGATCTCCGTGCTGTCCACCCAGAGCTAGGCCTGCACTGTCCAACAGACAGTGGCCATGGACTGCTAACATTCCATTCAGTGAAAACAATCAATGTCCTCCGATTCACAAGCCACCTTTCAAGGGCTCAGAAGCCACCCCAGAAAAGACAGATCATGGCGTCAGGCTCTGGAGCTCATGCCTATAATCCTAGCTATGCAGGAGGCAGGCTGAGAGCTGGAGGATTGTGGTTCAAAGCCAGTCCTGGGCAGGAAAATCTTAGAGACTCTTTCTCCAATTAACCAGCAGCAGGCCAAAAGTGGAAGTGTCAGCACGTGGGAAAGCCCCAGTGTCAGCACGTGGGAAAGAGAAAGAGAAGGTCATGACGCATGCCCATCAGATCCAAAAAAGCTCACAGAGCGCTCCAGATGGGAGCAGCGGGCTGACCTCCAGGAGAGGGAATGAGGGGGCCCCACGTACCAGCAGAGAAAACGCAGAGAGCAGATGACAGAAGAACCGGGAGCTCATGACGCTACCTGTCCCCACAGAGGGGAGGGGGTCCCAGAACTGGGGGTCTCCAGGGCTACCGCTGAGGGGGGGTCTCTGAGCCTGATACCAGGCCCAGGTCAATTGGTTATTTCTTCTCCCCAACAAATTCCCAGGGAGGGCGCTACGCTCCTCTCTGCAGTCCTGGAGTCCCACTCACCAACTCCCCCACACCTCCCACCACACCCCTACCAGGCCACAGACCTGTGTCCAGGTCATCTGCACAGACACGTGTCCACCACTCTGCAGCCAGAGAGTCAGGGAGCTCCCCAGGGCCCCTGTCAGAGGAGCAGGTAGAGCAGGGAGCCCTGGACCCACAGGAAGGGTCTGGGTCCCTCAGTATACCTGCCCCGCCCCTTCCCCCCCCCAGGACAACTTGGTGCCGACCACTCCACATGAGCCATTGGGGCGGGCAGCCTTCAGGGTCTGCAGACCCCGAGAGGTCAGAGGGCAATTGCCAGGGGAGGCGGGACCTGGCCTGCCACCCCAGAGCAACAGAGAGGCAGAAGAGGCAAATCCCGTGCCGGTGCCCACACCCTGCCCAGAAAGCACCTCATCTCTTGATGGCCTACTGCACCCCCTCCTATCCTCTCCCCCCACAAAATACCAGAATCCCGTGCTGAATCCCTGGTCCCAAAAGCAAGAGGAGCGCAAGGGAGGTCCCTGTGCTTTCCATCCCTTGCTCCCTCTGCAAGGCTTTGTTGTGGCTGTTGGAGGGCGGGGCTGCTGGTATTGGGGTTCCGCTGGGGACCCCCGGCAAGTGTTCTGCAGTCAGGTCCCACCCCTTTCTGCTTTCCTTTGTTTTCAGCTAAGGTCTGGCTGCTCTTTTTTTTGGCCCAAGTTGACCTTGAACTGTCATTCTCCCCTCTCTACCTCCTTAACTGGGATTACAGGTGTGAACTACCATGCCTGGCCTGTGCAAGATTTCTGACATGTGTGTGTGCATGCATGCACACGCACGTGTGTGCACATGGTGTGAGAAGGGGCGTGCACAGGTGGGTGTGTATGTACCGTAGGAAAGTGTGGGGCGTGTGTGGGTGCCCATGAGCTGTGGGGATGGGAGTATGGGGGGGGGGGGCGGTTGGCTATGCCCAGAAGCCGTTGCTGCCTGGTGCTGGTCCCTCAACCCTTCAGAATGCGACCAGGGGATTTGCACAACCTGGATCGTTGAGTCTCACACCTAGGGAGTCTGCTTGCGCACCTCTGGGCCCCAGATGGTCCAGAAATGGAGGTCAAGAATGGTGATTAGGGGTGCTGACTGCATGAAGCTGGCAGGAGGGGAGAGGGGCAAGGCTGGCTGAGCGCAGAATCCCTACCTGCCGCCCAGATCTGCTTCCTGCTGTGTGACCTGGGGCAATTTACTAAACCCTTCTGAGTCTCACTTTCCACCTTGGTGAAATAAGAAAGTGCAGTGCATTTAGCTGGGCACAGGTGGCTCACACTCAGGAGGCTGAGATCTGAGGATCAAAGCCAGCCCGGGCAGGACAGTCTGTGAGACTCTTATCTCCAATAAACCACCAGAAAACCACAAGTGGCGCTGTGGCTCAAGTGGTAGAGCGCTCGCCTTGAGCTGAAGAGCTGAGGGACAGCACCCAGGCCCAGAGTTCAAACCCCATGACTGACAAAAAAAAAAAAAAAAAGGAAGTGCAGTGCCTGCCTGGTAAAAGGGTTCTGAGGAAGAAAGAAGTGTGGACGGAGGCATCCTCACACAGTAAACACGAATCAATGATAGCACTCGTTTTTGCCACTGCTTTACTTATCATCAGCAGGTTATAAATACATGCCTAGGGAGATGAGCATGCGTGGTCATTTGCAGCTTTTGTGCAAGGAACAGATGTGTGTATAAATGTGTCTGTGGCCATCTGAGTTGTTTGTTGGGGTGCATGTGAGGGCATGCACATGGCTGGTACAAAGGAGAAAGCTTTCTTCTCAGGAAGAAAGACAGGCTGAAAGTACAAGTGTGCCCCACCCCACCCCCACACTTCCTGCAAACTCCTAGTGTACAAAAACGCTGCAGCCTAGCCGCCGCCTCCTCCCTCCTCGGGGGTCCCAGCTGGAGCAGGGTCTCTACCCTCTACCACCTTCATTAACTCAGGATTAAGCTGGGCTTCCCAGCCCCGAGGCCCCCGGGCGGTAGTGAGGGAGAGTAATGGCGGGTGGCAGGGAGGGGCTCAGGCCCAGGGGATGTCTGTCTCCCCCCCCTCCCGTTCTCAGAGCTGCTTGACAGCTGCCCCCCCCCACACTCTTGGTGGGGGGGGGACGGGGCTGGGCCTCAGCTGCGGCAGGGGGAGGGGTCCAGCCTGGGAAGAAGGCTGGCAGCTGGATGCACCAAGGAAGGAGGCGCTAATTGGTTAATGGGGACCCTTCCCTCCGCCACCCACCACAGGGGCTGGAAATCATTGAGGTAGGAGCCAATTAGGGGGACCTGCCTCTCACCTGACGCCAAAGTGGCAGAGCCAGCGGGCACCACCAGGCAGTAGACAGACCCTCCCGGGCAAAGGCAGATGAGGCCCTGTCCCTGCCCCATGGCATATGCAGACAGCAGTGTCCCCTGGCACAGGGGCCAGAGAAATGCCCCTTGCAGGTGTAGCACCTATTTGTTTAGCAACTTCAGGAGGTCTCAGTCTGCCCGTGTCATGCATTTGCTGTGTGGCTTTTTGGTATGTGTATTTGGTAAGTGTTGTTCCTGGGGCTTGAACTCAAGGCCTGGGTGTTGTCCCCGAGCTTCTTTTTGCTCAAGGCTAGCACTGTACCACTTTAGCCACAGCTCCACGTGCAGCTTTTTGGTAGTGTCTCCGGTTCTTTCACTTTTAGTTTGCTTCTCAATTTCGGAGCTCTTACTTTGGCCCTGGCTGGATCTTGAGCCTCCTCCCTCTGCCTCCCCAGGTGACTGGGATTACACGCAGCTACCACCATGCCCAGCTGCATCCTCTTTCCTTTACACAGATGAAGACAATGGTCCTGTAATTTTTTTTCTTTTTTGGGGGGGGGGGATCCGGTCGTGGGGCCTGAACTCTGGGCCTGGGTGCTGTCCCTCAGCTCTTCAGCTCAAGGCTAGCACTCTACCACTTGAGCCACAGCACCACTTCCGGCTTTTTTCTTATGTAGTGCTGAGGAATTGAACCCAGGGCCTCGAGCATGCAAGGCAAGTGCTCTACCACTGAGCCACCTTCCCAGCCCAATGGTCCTGTAATTTGCCCTAAGGTCACACTGCTAGCTGGAGGAGCCCCCAACCAGAGCAACCTTTCACTGGGCCTCACTGTCCCATCCAGCACTGGACTCCAGAATACATCCTGTTTCCCCCATCTTGGCCAGTGCGTCTTCTCACACCTCGTATATCTGCAGATCGGTTCTTCCATGACACTCCCCTGAGGCTCCCAGGGCAGGGGGGGGGGCGGGCGGGAGGGCTCCTCCATTTGCAGGACCTGAGAGTCTCCATCCTAAGCCGCCGCGACAGCATGTCACCTTACAGACTCACTTTTCTGCCCCCTCTCCCTCCTTCAGAGAGAGGAGCTGAGTCTGATTATTCCTCACAGCTCAGTGCCACATAGACAGCAGCACTTCATAACTAAGCACAGGATGAGCGAGCTGACTCCACCAGCTTGAGTAGATGGGCCCTGCCCAGCTTCTTTAAAATCAAATTTAAATTAATTAAAATGCAATCAAATCAAGCCAAGGGCTGGTGGCTCACACCTGTAATCCTAGCTACTCAGGAAGCTGCGCTCTGAGGAGCACAGTTCAAACTCAGCCTGGGCAGAAAAGCCCACAAGATTTTATCTCCAATTAACCAGCAAAAACCTGGTGTGTGGCTCAAGTGGTAGAGCACTAGCCTTGAGTGGAAAAGCAAAGGAAGAGCCCAGGGCCCTGAGTTCAAGTCCCAGTATCAGAATATACGCACACATACACACACACACACACACACACACACACACACACACACACACACAAATCAAATTTTGAAATGTTGGTTCCTCAGCCACGGTAGCCACATTTCAAGTTCCCAATAGTGGCCAGTAACTGGTGGCCACCATATTGGATAATGTGAACAATGGCAAAACCCATCACCGCAGGAAGTTCTGCTGTTCTGCTGGCGGGTACACTCCAGGGGTGATTCTCCAGCTAGCCTCAGGCCCTGAGGCCTCTTGGTGGTGTCCTGCCTGCAGCTCAGAGCTCCTCGTGGGCTTCCCCAGCCACCTTCGGGCCTGTCTTTGAAGACCAGCCACTCGGCCTGCTATTCCCAGAGGAGTCCACGGAGGAGCAGGTGACACTGGCATGCCGTGCCCGGGCCAGCCCTCCAGCTACCTATAGGTGAGGCCTTTGCCGGGCACACTTTTCCCTCATGCCAGCCTTATGTCAGCTAGGACTGAGATTGCCCTCCTATGCCCGCTGCAGGTGGAAGATGAACGGCACGGAGATGAAGCTGGAACCTGGGTCCCGTCACCAGCTGGTGGGGGGCAACCTGGTCATCACCAACCCCACCAAGGCCCAGGATGCCGGCGTCTACCAGTGCCTGGCCTCAAACCCAGTGGGCACGGTGGTCAGCAGGGAGGCTGTCCTCCGCTTTGGCTGTGAGACCCAAAGGGGGCGGAGACCCTGGGGGGGTGGGGGAGGAGGAAGGGCCTAGAAAGGAAAGGTGACACCCCCATCAGGCCTTTGCTGCCCTCTGACCCTAGTGACTTGCTTCTTCCCCCGTGGGGGGGCAGCCGGGAGGGCCCCCAGGTTGCAGGACAGCCCCTGAGCCCTGGTCTCCACCTCCAGTTCTTCAGGAATTCTCCAAGGAAGAGCGAGACCCGGTGAAAACCCATGAGGGCTGGGGGGTGATGCTCCCGTGTAACCCGCCGGCCCACTACCCAGGTGAGTGGGGCGCAGGGGGCTCGGCAGAGAGGAGGAGGAAGAAGAGGTGGCACGTGACCCTTGGACGCCTCCATCCTGAGTCCCAGCGTGAAATGGCTCAGTTTCCCTTTGGGTTGATCATTTCCTGAAGGTGTGTGTGCTCCCCGCTGGGACAGAGCGAAAGCCTCTTCTTCCCTCAGCTCCAGTTCGTGTATAGAGGGGCTTGGGGTACAACGTGCTCATCCTCCTCCCCTATGGTGGGCTCCAACCCAGCTTGGCTGTGAGCCCAGCACCCCGTGGTTGCCTCGAACTCCCCACCTCCTAGGCTTGTCCTACCGCTGGCTCCTCAATGAGTTCCCCAACTTCATCCCGACGGACGGGCGTCACTTCGTGTCCCAGACCACAGGGAACCTGTACATCGCCCGGACCAACGCTTCGGATCTGGGCAACTACTCCTGCCTGGCCACCAGCCACATGGACTTCTCCACCAAGAGCGTCTTCAGCAAGTTCGCGCAGCTCAACCTGGCAGCCGAAGGTCAGGCCGGAGGACATGGCGGAGGAGGGAGCTGGGAGGGCCGAGGGCTTCGCTTGGGGCTGGAGAAGACCAGCTGGCAGGGCACAGGATCCAGGCTCTGGGAGCCCCAGTCCCCCTGCTGAAAGCTCTCGAACCTGTGCCCCAGGCCGCAAGGGGAAAGGGCAATCTCTGACACTCCGCTCCCCTACCAGATGCATGGGCTGTGAGCAGTGACATTAACACCGGTCTGGGGTCGCTGGCTTGTGACTTGCGAATGCCTCTCTTTCCCAGACCCCCGGCTCTTTGCACCCAGCATCAAGGCCCGGTTCCCCCCAGAGACCTACGCGCTGGTGGGACAGCAGGTGACCCTGGAGTGCTTCGCCTTTGGGAAGTAAGCAGTGTAGGAGCCCCTTGGGGACACGGGGGGCCGGCACACAGGGGGCATCGCCCACCCCCACTGAGCACCCCACCCCGGGGCCCCACGCACATGGGTTACTTTTCCTGAGCCTGGCAGGGTCAGGCCTATGGAGGTTATGCAGGGCTGGAAGCAAGAATCACAGAGTAGAGACACCAACTCACCCTGCCAGTTCAAATCCCAGCTCTGCCACTGGCTCGCTGGGAGACTGTGGGTAAATTACCTAACCTCTCCAGGGCTGTTTCCTTATTGTTGAATGGTAATAACACTATGTCTACAGGGGCTTGTTATGAAGATTAAATAAGTTAACTCACCTTTCAGCCCTTAGAGCAGTGCTTGGCATTTGGTGAAGTGTTCCGTGTTAACCATTAGTTAAAAAAATCACAGAGGCTTCACCGAGACTGCGCTATTCGCAGTAGCAGGTGCTCAGTAAATGTGTGTGGAATGAATAGGCAACTGGGATTTGAACTCTGGTCTTCCCGATCCTCACATGTCCCCTGGGCCTCTGCTTTCTGGAAAGTGTTACTGAGAAAAGCAGTAGCCACCCAGGACACAGGATCCAGGGCTTGGAAATGCCCTTAGAAAACCATTAGGCAGGTGGCATGGAGGTCCTGTGGGACTCACCGATTCTTAATGCAAGCTAATACACAGATTGTCAAAGTGCTTTGGGAAGTGGAGTGATGGGAGAAGGGACCCATAAAGACCCAGGTCCCAGGCCGCTGCTGACCAGTGTGCCTGGGAGGGAAAGGCAGCTTTGGGGTACAGATCAACTTCATTGGCTTCCTAGCTGTGGCATGGGGTAGGTATAGAGGAGCCCTGCTTCATGTCCTCCCTGCCCCACTGCGTCCTGAGCCTGTCCCAGAGAAGAGCCTGAGAGCAGTTCACACATGCCCTCAGCCCCTCCCCTGCCAGCATCTGAGGAAGGCTGGGCTCTGGGCTCCGGGTGGCACCGCCTGATCCGCTTGCTCCCTCTGCCTGTGTCTCTCTCCTCTGGCAGCCCCGTCCCCAGGATCAAGTGGCGCAAGGTGGACGGCACCTTATCCCCGCAGTGGGCCACGGCCGAGCCCACCCTGCAGATTCCCAGTGTGAGCTTTGAGGACGAGGGCACCTATGAGTGCGAGGTGGAGAACTCCAAGGGCCGAGATACCGTCCAGGGCCGCGTCATCGTGCAGGGTACAGAGCCTGGCTGCTCCCCTTTCCTGCCTCCACCCTGTCCCCGAGGAGAAGACGGAGCGACCCTCCCATCTCTGGTCCCGGCCAGGACCTCTCTGAACACACAGAGGCCAGTCCAGACCATCAGCGAAGGCTACAGAAAGCACAGCGAAGGCCTTGCAGTGGTTTAAGTTGCTAAAAAGTCAAATAAAATAATGAAAGCTGGGTGGCAGTGACTCAGGCCTGTAATCCTAGCCACTCAGGAAGCTGAGAGCTGAGGATCATGGTTCAAAGCCAGCCCCACTCAGCAGGAAAGGCTGTGGAACTCTAATCTCCAATTAACCACCAGAAAACCAGAAGTGGCTCTGTGGTTCCACGTGGTAGAGCGCTAGCTTTGAGCAAAAGAGCTTAGGTACAGCGCCCAGCCCCTGAGTTCAAGCCCCATGACCAACAAAATTATAAAATAAAATGACAAGCCACTGGTACAGCCACAGAGTACCATCTTTCCTCTGGCAGCCTCTTTCTGGCCCCCCACCCCCAGCCCCCTTTTGTTTTCTCTAGCCCAGAAAGCAGGTGGCGTCCTCTGCTGTCTGTCACCAGTACTGCAGTCTTGCCATTCCAGCCCATCCCAGAAGCCTCGGTTTCCTCCTAGTCATCTTTTTCTTGCCCTTGTTCCCCAGCTCAGCCTGAGTGGCTCAAAGTGATCTCAGACACAGAGGCTGACATCGGCTCCAACCTACGCTGGGGCTGCGCAGCTGCAGGCAAGCCCCGGCCCACCGTGCGCTGGCTGCGGAACGGAGAGCCTCTGGCTTCCCAGGTAGGCCACCGGGGCTGCCTCCCTCCCACACACCACCTCCCTCTCCTGTGGGCCCCATCCTCCCTCCCTGCCAGGCCGATCAAGGTGTCAGGTGGTGGTTTGAGGAGCTTCTTTCCATCCCAGAGTAGATGGGTAGAATTCCAGAGACCTGAATCCAGGCACAACTCAGCCACAAACCAAGAGTGTGGTCCTAGGTGTGTCTCAGAGCTCTGAGATTCCGGACAGCTCTGAGATAGAGCTGCCCCAAGCCAAGGGACCATGGGTCTAGAACCCCCATGGTATGTGTCCCTGCCTGCCCCTCCCCACACCCAAGCTAATCCCCCTACCCCACCCTGCTGGGCTTTTCTGCACAGAACCGGGTAGAGGTGTCAGCCGGGGACCTGCAGTTCTCTAAGCTGAGCCTGGAGGACTCAGGAATGTACCAGTGTGTGGCAGAGAATAAACATGGCACTGTCTACGCCAGCGCCGAGCTGGCTGTGCAAGGTAAAACATGGGGTGGGGCGGGGGAGGGGGCAGAGACATCCCTGGGCCCCCTGGTGGGGGTGCAGGGGTTCTGAGCCTCCAAGCACACACATGTACATGCACACACACCACAACACATGAACATACACACAGGGGCCAGTCTTCCTTGGTTTTCCAGGGGCTTCTAATTAGAAGGACTTAGGTTCAAGAAAGAAGGCAGGACACTAAATTGAGAGCTCTGGCGGGGGGGGGGGGGTGAGGGTGGGGGGGTGAGTGGGAAGGGGCTTCAAACCCCTGGGCAAAGCAAATACTTGCTGCAGTGACATTAGGAGAAAAAGATGGCAGGAGGCATCGAAAACCAAATCGATCTACTCTGTGCTTAATCCAACCCTTCCACTGTGTTATGCATTTCTCTGCCTCAGTTTCTTGTACAGAAATGGAGGCAGTGATGGCCTCACCCACACACTGCCACTCTGAGGGGAAAATGAGCTGAGCCACAAAGAGACTGTCTGCCCTGCAGAGGGCTGCAGCCCAGCATTCTCTGGGCTGGATGTAATGATATCTGCCCTGTTCATTTTCATTGAGGTTTAACTAAAATTTACTCAATTCTTCACTGCTATTGACTCAACACCTCCTAAAGAATGAACACTAGTGATCAGTTCTCAGCTTACAGTCCAGTAAACTTTATTACTGGAGAGGGACAAATGAAGCACAAAATCCAATAAATAATGCCAGTAGTCATAAAAAGAACATGGTATCAAGGAAGTTGAGCCAGGTGCCAGTGTCTCACATCTGTAATCCTAGCTACTCAGGATGCTGAGATCTGAGAATTGCAGTTCAAAGCCAGTCTGGACAGGAAACTCTGTGAGACTCTAAATTCCAGTTAACCCCCCAAAAAACAGAAGTGGCTCTGTGGCTCAAGGGGGAGAGCACTTAGCCTTGAGTAAAAAGCTCAAGGACAATGCCCAGGCCCTGAGTTCAAGCTCCACAACTAGGAAAGAAAGAAAGAAAGAAAGAAAGAAAGAAAGAAAGAAAGAAAGAAAGAAAGAAAGAAAGAAAGAAAGAAAGAAAGAAAGAAAGAAAGAAAGGAAGGAAGGAAGGAAAGACAGAGGAAGGGAGGGAGGGAGGGAAGAAGGGGGAGGGAGGGAGGAAGGAAGGGAGAGAAAAAGAAAAAGGCCATGAGCAGTAGGGGCTTTTGCCATAGTCCAGGCAGTTTTGGTGGTGTGGTCCAGAGAATGCTGGGTGTGTTCTACAGATCGCACATCGCACATCAGAAAGTACAAAGGCAGCTTTGCGTAGTCAGGTGCCTTCCTAATGGACGGTGACACAGATCCTGCGTCTCTCCCCTTCCTTGGTAGCCCTGGCCCCCGACTTCAGGCAGAACCCTGTGCGGCGCCTCATCCCTGCAGCCCGTGGAGGGGAGATCGCTATCCCCTGCCAGCCCCGGGCAGCTCCCAAAGCCACGGTGCTCTGGAGCAAGGGCACTGAGATTCTGGTGAACAGCAGCAGGTACCCTGGGCCCCACAAGCAGCTCTTGCTCCCCCGAGCCCTCCCCAGGGTGGGGGGATCCTCTCCCCTTGATTCCTGCGTGCCCCTGGGTTGGCAGATGTGCTTTGTCCTTGCCGCAGAGTGACTGTGACTCCAGATGGCACCTTGATTATAAGGAACATCAGTCGTTCCGACGAAGGCAAATACACCTGCTTTGCTGAGAATTTCATGGGCAAAGCCAACAGCACCGGGGTCCTGTCTGTGCGGGGTAAGAGAGGGTGCATGGCTCAGCTCGCAGGGTGCCATCCTCCTTTCCCTTCCTGGGGCTTCTGGCCCTATCCCAGGGCCCCTCCCTGGGCCCTTCCCTCCCCCAACTCCCCCAGGCAGCCATTGTTGTTTTGGTAGATGCAACCAAGATCACTCTAGCCCCCTCGAGCGCGGACATCAACTTGGGCGACAACCTGACCCTCCAGTGCCACGCCTCCCACGACCCCACCATGGACCTCACGTTCACCTGGACCCTGGACGACTTCCCCATTGACTTCCACAAGCCTGGGGGACACTACCGGAGGGCCAGCGTGGTAAGGCCTAGGGCCAGGGGACCCCCAAGCTCGGTTGTTTTCTGTGGGCCGTATCTCTTGACGCCTGCTTCCGTCCCCTGGGTGCAGAAGGAGACGATTGGGGACCTGACCCTCCTGAATGCCCAGCTGCGCCACGGAGGGAAGTACACGTGCCTGGCCCAGACAGTGGTGGACGGGGCATCGAAGGAGGCCACTGTCCTGGTTCGAGGTGACAGATTTCCCACCTCTGCCCTGACACACATACACCCCTGCTCCCCTGGAGGCCCTGGGCCGTGTGACCTGCTCTCCAGCCTCCTCACACCCCCAGGCTGTGCGGGAGGAGCTGCCATCGGAAGTCCCTGAGGGGGACATGTCCATGGCGCATGAGCCCGGCTTCCATGAGTCCTAGACAAATAGAATATTTTTCTTTGAAAGCCAAGGTTTTGGGAATGGGGGAGCACTTTGCTGAGCCCAGTGAGTAGCCCAGTTTTCAAGGTCAGTTTTCAAGGTCACTGCTGGGAAATCTGTACATCACCTCTGGGAGCCCGGCCCAGACCCCAGCCTGAGATCCAGCCTTCCCACCACACAATGCCTTATTCCCACTCATGGCACTGCCCACCCCCCTTCTATGTGTGCTCGCTACGCCCTCTGTTGCCCAGTTTGGGTACTGCGCCACCCCCACGCTGGGCCTGGAAGGGGTTGGCTTCCATTGGAAGCTGACCCTGCGGTGGGATCTGTCTTTCTATACAGGCCCACCAGGTCCCCCAGGAGGAGTGGTCGTGAGGGACATCGCTGACACCACCGTCCAGCTGAGCTGGAGCCGTGGCTTTGACAACCACAGCCCCATTGCCAAGTACACCCTGCAAGCTCGCACTCTACCTGCAGGGAAATGGAAGCAGGTTCGGACCAGTAAGTGTGAGGCCCCACTTGGGTGGGTATTGATAAGGCCTGGCTGTGTGCTGTGATGGGAGGCAGGGGTCTGGAGAAAGAGAGAACCCTTGGTCAGGCAGGGAGACAGTTGCACAGAAAGTGGGAGAAGCGCAGCAGGATAAAACACTTGGTCTGAGATGTTCTGAGCTGCGCCTTTAAGACTTGGAAGTATTATTACTGGAGCAATGAAAATATTCATGGGGTGTAGGGGTGCACATAACATTAGCAAAAGCCCCCCCATCATTTCTAAAGGGGAATCAAGAGCTTTTCCTTGCAGATCCCGCGAACATTGAGGGCAATGCAGAGACTGCCCAGGTGCTGGGCCTCACGCCCTGGATGGATTACCAGTTCCGGGTCATAGCCAGCAACATCCTGGGCACGGGAGAGCCCAGTGGGCCCTCCAGCAGGATCCGGACCAAGGAAGCAGGTCAGGATTCGGGGTGTCCAGAAAGGAACTCTCAGCAGAGGGAGACCTTGGCCCTCTTCAGGGGACCCCCAGTGAGCAACCCACCTCTTAACACTAGAGAGTTCCAACTCTACTGACAAAACTCATGAGAGAAGACAAGTCAGGACCTGGATTTTTTGTTTTGCCTAGGCTGGCTTCAGACCTCAAAATCCTCCTATCTCAGCTTCCTAAGTAGATAAGGTTACAGATGTGAGCCACAGTCATCTGGCTATGTTTTGTTTCTGTTGAGTCAGTGCCACCCTGAGCTAGGCTGGCCTCAAACTCACTGTGTAACCCACGCTGGCCTCCAACTTGCAATCCTACTGCCTCAGCCTCCCCAGTGCCAAAATTATGGGTGTGTACCACCACGCCAAGCTAGTTTGGATCTTAAATATACCCTGAAGGGACATTTGTGAAAGGTTTGTTCTCCAAAACTTCGTTAAATGATTGATTCTATTGGGAGGTGATGTGTGTCCGTGTGTGTGTGTGTGTGTGTGTGTGTGTGTGTGTGTGTGTGAGAGAGAGAGAGAGAGAGAGAGAGAGACGAGAGACACTGCAGGATGCTGGAGGAGCCAGTGTCTCCAAGTCCTGCTTTAGATGGCTCCTTGGGAGCAGCAGGAAGGAGTAATACTCTGCCCCTGCCTACAGAGAAAGGTATGGGTGCAGAACTTGAGTGGGGAAGGGGGGAGAAACTGGAAGACTCCTCATCACCGCCCCCCCCCCAGCAGCATCTACCCAAGGCTTCCTACCCACCCTCTGACCCATCCCAGATGCGGGCCTGGCACAAGAGCCCTGCATCCCTCCCCACACCTGCCCGGTCCTGTGGCCCACGCACTCCCACACAGCATGTTCTCCTTCAAGCTCCTTCTGGCTGGGGAGTCACTCAGCATTTTTAGCTGGTTCCTCTCCTGAGTAAGACATCCCCGAGGAAGCCATTTCTTGGCCTCTGAGCGTCTTGATGAGGTGGGGTGGGGAGGACGTGTCTTTCTTGCAGTATACCAGAATAGGTGGAGCCCAGAGACAAGTACTGTGCAAAGGAAAGATGATAGACTTTAAAACCACAGGAGCTGGGTTCAAATTCTAGCTATATCACCTTCGGCACAGTGTGCTGCTGCTCAGGGCCAGAGGGAGTTCATGCAGGTGAAGATGCCCGCATCAGAACCCGCTCAAGTCTCTAAGTACAGCTTTCTGGGCAGAAAGATTTCTGCTGTGCTGCTCAAGCTGATGGAACCTGCCCTTGTCTTATTAGCAGTCTGTGTAACGCTAGAGGCAATCAGGAAATTAAAGAAGAAAACTAGTGATAAAATACCCTGTGATGAGTTGGTCTTTGGTTTTATTTTCTTCTTTTCTTTTCTTTACCTTTCCTTTTTTGTGTGTGTGTGCCAGTCCTGGAGCTTGAACTCAGGGCCTGGGCACTGTCCCTGAGGTTTTTTCCTTGAGGCTAGCATTCTACCACTTGAGCCACAGCTCCATTTTCTGCTTTATTTGGGGGGGGAGGGTAGTTTATTGGAAATTAGAGTCAGACTTTGCTGCCCAGGCTGCCTTTGAATCAGGATTCTCAGACTTCAGCCTCCTGAGTAGCTAGGGTTACAGACAGTGATTTTGTTTTCTTAATGGGTTTGTTGGTTTGGTTTTGGCTGAGCTATTAGTTGCCCTTAATTTAAAGCAAAGTGAAGTTGGGCTCTGTGATTTAAGCCAACAGGAGTAGGAAGGACAAAGATAAGTTATATGCTAGCCACTCTTTGTTTAATTTTATTTCTGTTATAACCATTGAGAGAAACAGCACCTTGAGGGAGAATTAGGCTCAGATCGGTTAAGTAACAGGCCTAGGGAAATACTGCTAGAAAAGAGGTGGGCTGAAGGCCAAGATGGCCTAACTACTCCAGAGTCTGAGATCCAGAGGATTTCGGTTTGAGGCTAGCCTGGACAGAGAGGTCCCAAGACACCATCTCCAATTAACCAGCAAAATGTAGGGCTCGAGGCACAGCTCAAGTGCCCTGAGTTCAAACTCCTTTACTACCAAAACAGAAAGGGGCAGACAGAGACAGAGATAGAGAGAGAATGAGGGAGGGAGGGAGAGAGGAAGGAAGGAAGGAAGGAAGGAAGGAAGGAAGGAAGGAAGGAAGGAAGGAAGGAAGGAAAAGAGGGAAGAGGGAGGAAGGAGGGAAGGAGAAAGAGAAAGTGAGAAGGAAGGGGAGGGGAAGGGAAGGGAGAAGGAAGGGAAGGGAAGGGAAGGGGTGAGTCTTTTGGTGCCTAGATATCTGTTAACGAGCCACTCCTGTGTCCTTGTCCCTGACAGCCCCCTCAGTGGCACCATCCGGACTCAGCGGGGGCGGCGGGGCCCCGGGAGAGCTCATGGTCAATTGGACTGTAAGCTGGCCAGGGTGGGCAGGATGAGCCCTCTGCCTCTGGGGGTGGACAAGCCCCGCCCCTTCCTCTCTCCTCCTCACCCCCTTGAGCAGTGCCCAGACTGGGCCACCATCGGTTCTGACTCAAGCTGTCATTGTCCTCTTCCTGGCTCCCTTGTCCCCTGCCCCCCTAAGTATCCCCACAGACTCCCCCCCCCCCGTGTCCCCAGGCCACCCCTTCCCCTGGGTGATGGGCAGGTGACCCACCCGTGCCCCTCGCCCACACCCGCTCTCGCCCTCAGCCCATGTCACGGGAGTACCAGAACGGAGACGGCTTCGGCTACCTGCTGTCCTTCCGCAGGCAGGGCAGCAGCGCCTGGCAGACGGCGCAGGTGCCCGGTGCCGATGCCCAGTACTTCGTGTACAGCAACCGCAGCATTCTCCCCTACACGCCCTTCGAGGTCAAGATCCGCAGCTACAACCGCCGTGGGACCGGACCCGAGAGCCTCACCGCCCTGGTGCACTCGGCTGAGGAAGGTGGGCTGCCCCCCAACCCCCACCCGCACCCCACCACCCAGCCCAGCCACCTCCCCGGAGTCCTGGACATCCTGGTCCCCTCAGTGGGGCGCTGCACAAGAGGGGACCACCTGGAGCCCCACCTGGCCCTCCTCCAGAGCCCACGGGGGCGGGGGAACACTGCCCTGCAAGACCCAGGCAGGGCTGGGCAGTCCCCACCCATCGGATATCATCCCCAGAACCCCGAGTGGCCCCCAGCAAGGTCTGGGCCAAGGGGGTCTCCGCCTCCGAGGTGAACGTGACCTGGGAACCCGTGCAGCAGGACGTGAACGGAATCCTTCTGGGGTACGAGGTGAGCAGCATGGGGCGGGAGAAAGAGGGGTGTTGGGCTTTCAGGACTCGGTGGGGACCAATGATAACTCATTGGTCACCCCTACTGCGGCTGCAGAGTCATGGGGTGCAGACGGGCTATTTGGTCTAGGTATAAACACCATGAAGGCAATATGACTGGCCATCTCCAGGCTCGGCCTGTCCCTCCCATCATCCATCCACCACCTGCTCCCCCATTCGGCCCGTGTATGGAGCTCCTTTCCCTTGGACTGAGCACTCTGCCAGGCACCCAGAGACACAGAGCCTGCACTCACATGCATGGCCCTGCTCTCTAGGTGCTTGAGCAGAGTCTGGCTCAGAGGACTGGGTGAGCAGGAGAGGAAAAGCGTGTTAGAGGGCCCAGAGCAGGGAAACCCCAAGACCCCAGGCTTCATTCATCACAGACCTCAGCACACCCTGTTCACTTCAGATTCGCTACTGGAAAGCCGGAGACAAAGAAGCAGCAGCGGACCGAGTGAGGACAGCAGGACTGGATACCATTGCTCGCATCACTGACCTGCAGCCCAATACCAAGTACCACCTGACAGTGCGGGCCTACAACAGGGCAGGAACCGGGCCTGCCAGCCCTTCTGCCAACGCCACCACCATGAAGTCCCGTGAGTCTGTCCACCAGGGGTGAGGTGAGAGTGTGTGTCCAGGCAGGGGCTCCAGGATCATGCTTCGATGACAAGATAGTTGCTATACCCCACATGCCCTCGACTGGAAAGAAACAAGAGGGTCCACTAAGAAAAGAGGGTGAGCTGGGCACTGGTTGCTTATGCTGTAATCCTAGCTACTCAGGAGGCTGAGGTCTGAGTATCTCAGTTTGAAATCAGCCTGGGCAGCAAAGTCCATGAGGCCCTTATTTCCAATTAAAGACCAAAAAGCTGCAAGTAGAACTGTGGCTCAAATGGGAGAGCTCTAGCCTTGAGCACAAAAGCTCAAGGACAGTGGCTAATGCCTCTTCTCCACCCTTTGAATTGTCCTGGCTTTGTTTCTTAGGCAGTGGCTACAGAATATTCTGGGTGTGCCTGCTGTACAGGCAGGCATCTGGCAAGGGGCTGGCTAGCAGCAAGAGGGTGTGACGTCTCCCTTCCTCTCCGGCAGCTCCCCGGCGACCTCCGGGCAACATCTCCTGGACTTTCTCAAGCTCCAGCCTCAGCATCAAATGGGACCCTGTGGTCCCCCTGAGAAATGAATCTGCAGTTACTGGCTATAAGGTGAGGAAGGGATTCCTTCCCGACCTGGAGTGAACCTGGAGGCTGCAGTGATCACTAGTGGGGTCTGAGTGAGAGTTTGTATCTGGGAAATCTGTTGGGAGCTCAGGAGAAGACTAGGAGAATGGGGACCACTCGGGGATCACTGTGGGAACACCAGATTTCGGGGGGAGCGGGGATGGGCACCATGGAGGCCCGCCAGCCTCCAGTGTCTGCAGAAAGTAGAGCTGCTTGCTTGCTTGCCTCCCCCAACTAGCCAGGCCAGTGGGAAACTGGAGGAAGAGTGAGGAGACAGAACCTGAGGGCCAGGAACTGTAGGGACTTTTCTCCATGCCTAGAGCTGGGAAAGACAGAAGGAAGTACCCCAATCAGAGGAGGGTACACCGGGAACCCCCCTTCTCACAGATGCTGTACCAGAATGACCTGCACCCAGCCCCCACGCTCCACGTCACCGGCAAGAACTGGATAGAAATCCCGGTACTGGAAGACATTGGCCACGCCCGGGTACAGATCCGGACCACGGGGCCTGGGGGCGACGGTACCCCAGCAGAAGTCCACATCGTGAGGAAAGGAGGTGCCGTCTCCCCCACCCCACAAGTGTCAGGGCCAACCCAGACGCCTGCTTAAGGGTTCGTTTCCACCCCAGCCAGCTCCCACCTGGACCCCCAGGGCTAAGGACAAGGCAGGCAGGGGCCAGAGGAGCCTCCATGTTGCTGACCTTTCTGTACCCCTAAAACCTCCCTGAGGGCCAGGGCCATGAGTGTGCCTTTTATGGGGGTACGGAATCAGGCTCAAGGCCAAGGGCCAAAGACCCTCACCAACTCTGTGGGTAGCAGGGCTACCATGAGCCACCAGCACTGTCTTCTCTGGGAAGTAGGGTGGGGTGGATTCGCTCCAGGCCCACTGACACAGCTCCCCATTTCTTCTGCGGGTTTCAGGCACAAGCATGATGGTGGAGAACCTGGCAGTCCGCCCGGCCCCGCACCCCGGCCCCATCCTCTCCCACTCCACGGTGATGTTGCTGCTCATCGGCTACCTGGAGCTCTGATCTCGGTGCCACCCTCCCCCCACCCCCGACCCCGGAGCTGGACACTCACCTCGGATGGACACAGCCAGCTGGCCCCGGCCCCCTCCTGATGCCAACATGGCCCAACACTGTGCCTGAGAACCGTCAGTTTTAAACTCCTATTTTCATCAGAGCTCTTTCCATAGGGGGGCAGGGTATTTCCTATTCTGCCAGCTGGATAGAACCATGCGAAGATTTTATTAGTTTATTTTTTTTTTCTTTAAGTCAAGAGGCCCCAGGGCAATGACTTCCTTATTGCCATTTAGCCAGGTGCCTGGATCCCTCGGGGTCCCGGATGGAAGGAACAGCCTATGAGGAAAAGGAGTTTTAGGACATTCCTTTATATCAGCAGCCATGGTGCTCTGGGAGGCACGTGGACTCCGCCAGCTGAGAGCACAGCCCAAGGCCCCGCAGGAGCACGGCCTGAAGGGGCTGAAGAAGTGAGGCAGGGCTCACACATCTGCCTCCCTCAGCTGGGCTGGAGGGCGCGCCCTGGGACCTAGACCTCCACCCTAGGAAGTCCCCCAGGACTCCTAGCCCTCAGGCTGCTGGGGTGGGAGCTCAGAGGGTTGAGAGGCTGGGACACCTGGTGAAAAAGAGGAACTAGCCCTCCTCCTCTCAGCCAGCACTGCCAACCCAACCCTGTCACCCTCCGAGACAAAGCCACGTCAGGTGGCTGGGTGACCGAAGGGCTTGAGGGGGGACCCCGAACCTCATCAAGACTGACCCTGCATGGCCCCTCCAGGTTGGGGGCAGGAGACAGCCAGCCACAATGACCCTCTTCCTCCAGACCCTGCAGCAGACCCACGAATGACCCCCCCCCCCCACTGCCCCTGCCTGAAGGCCCCGGATGTCAGGTCTCAGTGCAGCATTCATTCTTTGTCCTGGAATGACGAGCCAGCATCAGTGGGTCCCCTGCCTGCTCCCAGAAACTCCTTGGATCAACGGTCACACCTCTTTCTCCCAAGGGTCCCCTGATCTCTCAAGTCCCCAGAAGGAAAAAAAAGGGGGGGGGTTAACTCCTACCTTGAGTTCAGACCAGGCTAGCAGAGCCAAAAGAGACCTGAAAGCTCAACTTATCCCTGACCAATGAGAGAATGGAGGTCTAACTAGGGCCAGAGACTTCCCAAGGCCACACTGCCTGTAAGTGGCAGGGCTGGGAATAGAACTTAAGTCTCTTTAACCACCTAGCCCAGGCTCTGTCTATGCACAGCAAGGAGGCAGTGCTGAATAGCTAGGGCCTGTGGTTCTGAAGGTGGCTAAGGCCAGTGAGGGCTGAATGTCGGCTACAAGGAGTTCAGAATGGCAGTCATGGGGGTCAGCATAAAATCCAGAATTACTTCCAGACCTTCTTTGCCTTCTGAGCCTGGCTTCTGCTGGGAACTCAAGTACATAGTGCTGGCTTGAAGCCCTCCCCTCCCTGTTGCTTCAAGAAGAGAGGCCGAAGCAAGGAGAGTCCTCGCCCAGGCAATGGTGGGGAGCACAACCAGGAGACCCCAAAGCCTGCACTCTGACAGGTGACTCTTCACCTATGGGAGCCGCAGGATGGGTGTTCGAGGGCAGGCGCCACTGCAGCTTCGGGAGCCTGTTTTCTGTAGTTTACAGCTAGAGCTCTATTTTGTTATGGTTTTTTAAACGTTTCAGTCCTGCTCTATTTTCTTGGGCAGTTTTTATGTTGATGTTTACTCAGTACAATTTTTTAAAAACGGAAGCTCACACATCTCCTGGGAACCCCCAGGCCAGCCTTACCTCCAGCGAGAGTGTCTGCTCACAGCCATCGTGTGCCAGGGGACCAGGGGCTCAGCTATACAGTCGACCTCCCTCACAGACCCTGGTCTTGCTGGCTGTGATTTGACCTGAGCCTGGCTCTCTATCAGACCAGTGACCCTGAACTAAGGAATCCTTCCAACGTCTGACTCCTTGCTTACTCCCTTGCTGCTAGGGCAGGAGAGTTCAGGGACACGGGGCCTGGCAGGCAGATGAGCTGGATTGGCACTGAATCTCACCAGGAACGTGGAGGCTGCAGTGCCGATGCTGGCTTGAAGAACTACGTAGACTTACGTTTACCTTGCTTCTAATGAGGCCTGTGAGAAAGGGAGGAGGGCAGCCTGCTGGGAGGCCCAGAGGGAGGAAACTCTAACCTCCTGCAGCCAGAGGTTTGGGGGTAGAGCACCCATGAAGGTTTAGTAAGACAGTAGGAGGATGTGCAAGGTTGGGGAATGGAATGGCTTCCTGTGGAGATGTATGGACTGCTTCGAGAAGCAGGCTAGGCTAGATAGATGGCTTCTCAGAATGTGGTCCTACTGGAAGAGCTCCGTGGAACAATGTCTTGCAGACTCGGACAGAGGCTGCTCTTCGGGGCTCTCCTTCAGCACACAGGCTCAGGCTCCAGTGCTGGGCTGCTGGGTCTGTTGCCATGGCACTACAGATGTGTACCAGGCAAAGGGCAGCTCTCTCCACGGCACTCAGGCCCCGGGAATCTCAGTTCTGCTTCCATTCCCGGCAGCCAAGGATACGCAGGGGGGCCTGGGAGTAACAAAGCCCAGGTATGAAAGTGGGGGTTCTTTTTCTTTGGATAGTCACGCTGAGAGGAAAGGCTGAAGTTAGACAGCAGCAAGGCTTCGGGAGTGAGCAGCTTCTTTCCAGGCATGGTGGCAGTGGGCGTGGAGACGTCATCGATGGAGGGGGGTGGGGTATGCTGAACGTCCTTCCAGAGGTGAGATTCTTAGAATCCAAGTATCTGGCACAGGAAGTGTCTTAGAGACACCACCTGCGTGGTCCCTGCATCTCGAAGGAGACCAGGAGGGCGGGCCCTCGCCCCAGCAACTTGCTCACAACCCAGTGCCTTCCCCAGCAGGCACTGCCCCTAGGCAGTCCCATCAGCCAACCAGCCTGCGTGCTGTCAGGAAGTTCCATGGCTGACGACAGCCTACTGCCCTCGTCCCTTCCCCACCAACACAGGAACCTTTTCTCTTCCTTGTCAACCTGAGTCTGACAGACGGCATCTGCACGCAGTCAGAGGGACAGCAGTGGCCTCACAGCTGTCCCCGGCACAGCTGTGGTGCTGTCTCCTAGCTCACTTGAACCTGGGCCTTACCTGGAGGAGTGTTAAGAGAGATCAGATGGGCACTTTTCTAAGGGACTTGAAAGAGCTCCATGGAAGCAGGTGCCAGTGGCTGGGCATGGGGGTGGGGGGTGACTGGGAACTTGTATATATGGTTTTGGCTTTGGGGAGTCACAGCAACAGGAGAAAACTGGAGAGGAAGCAAGCAGGTCAGATAGCTTTGCCTGAAGGTGCCCTTGGGATCCATTCTGCCTCGATCCCAGAGACCTCCAACATAGCACCCACAGCTCAGAGACTCTCAGGGCTGGGCAAATGCTAGCATGTTGTCAGACTGCTGACTCAACAGACAGTTCCTGTTCAAATGGGGCCCCACCCCCATCAGCCCACTCCTCCACTCTTGTATGTGTAACGGTAGTTATTTATTGACTCTGGTAGCAGGCAGTTCTTAAATAAAGTTGGTTTCTCAACCTGCTCAGACAGCTGGCAGCAGCTGTGGGTATTTTGATCACCTGGCTCGAGCATATCTCCTTGTCTGTTCTATGACTCCAGGGGCCAGCCAGCTCCGAAGTGGAAAACCCTGAAGAACGTTCCAACGTTCAGTCCACACTGCTCCATTCTGACCTAGGAGGGGAAGAGCAGGCATCTTGCCAGCCTGGACCAGTGTGGCCTAACACAAAGTAGGGTGATGGATTCAATGATCCCGGAGAGATTAATACCCTGCAACTGGTACAGACATGGCTGCTGCCGCCATTCTCCACTCAGGACACCCAAAGGGTTGGGATTACTAGTCAGTTTCCAGCCAACTCTCTCACTTATGTTCCACACATGTGATCAGACTTCTATTACAGATAAGGCATGCACAGGGAAGGTGGGTGGAGGCCCCTCTCTACTCAGTGCTTAGCTCTCTGCCCAAGGCCTATTCAGCCTAAGAAGGGGTCTACATAGACTCCAGAATAGCACTGCAATTGACTAGGGAACATCTTATATTTGACACCCAAAGGGGATGTTGGGAGTGCTGGCTATGAAAGAACTCAACTTGGGCCCAGTAGCCCTGCTGGGGCACATTACATGCACAGAACTCAATGCACTGGACTGGGTTATCTTCACTAGTTGACCAGCAGCAGAATGCTGGACAAGATTTTCAGCTCTTTTCTGGGTCTCAGTCTCTTCATCTGGATAATAGGAAGCAGTGCCCCTCCATAATGATACTGAGTTCGTGACATACAAAGGAATATACTGCTTCACTGTCCTCTTTCAAGTACAAAAGTCCTGGATGCTTTAACAACCTATTCAGTACTGAACAAAGGCATCATGAATCACACACTTCAGTTTCCAAAGCAGTTTACAACGCAGAACCTGACTGGATTGTCTCACAAACACATTTCAAAGATGAGGCTCTACAGAGCATCAGTCTGCTTGTTCAATTACAGTTGATAGCAGAGGCAAGACCAGGACCAGGTCTTCTGAAATCATCTCTGCAGCAGACAGATGAGGGGAAGAGCTGTGTAAAATCTTAGGATCTTTTCAATGGGGCTGGGAACGTGGCTTAGTGGTAGAGTGCTTGTCTAGCATGCACAAAGCCCAGGGTTCAATTCTTCAGTACCACATAAACAGAAAAAGCCAGAAGTGGCTCTGTGGCTCAAGTGGTAGAATGCTAGCCTTGAGCAAAAGCAGCTCAGGGACAGTGCTCATGCCCTGAGTTCAAGCCCCAGGACTGGCAAAAAAAAAAAAAAAAAAAGTTAATACACAGTACATGAACCTTTATATCTGATTCTGGATCAAAAATCAAAAAGCTTTGATTCTGTAAACTAAGAAAACTAAATCTAGACTGCATGTAAAGTTGTGACAAAGGCCCTGTTCACCTGGTTAAGGAGACGTGCACCTGGTTAAGATTTCACAGTCACAACAAAATGGTTCAGCAAAAATGAATACATATTTAGAAAGATGTTGATGAATCTCAGCAAGGGGAGGCAGACTGTGGGTGGGCACTGAAGCTTTCAACTTTTATCTGGATTTGAAAGTTTTAATCTACAAGGAAGTGTGTATGTGGTGTGTATATGCATGCGTGCCAGCACTAGAGCTTCAACTCGGGG